TGTGATGTATCTGTTGAAAGATAACACCCCCTAGTTTCTGAATATATTGTATATGTTTAGAAGCATGAACCTTTATTTAATTAAATGAACTGAGGGCCTATTCTAAGTTTTACTTCTGATTATGTATATTAACTACCAGGATTTTAAAACAAAACAAAATGTTTCTGAACAGATTTCAGATTCTCAGCAACTAATGTATTTTTATTTTTTTTAGATGAAAAATGGATGACTTGCATTTGTTTTTATGGCAGTTACTAATCCATAAGTTTGTTTGCAAACAGTCATCAGGATCATCTGTGTTTTGTTGTTCCCAGTTCATGAGATGTTGGTGATTAAAGTGGTCCCTGATGACTGGAGCCCCAGTTTGGACCAGCAGGACCCAGAACTTCCCCACATAAAGGAGGAAAAGGAGGAAATGTGCATTAGTCAGTTGGGAGAGCAGCTTCCTGTGAAGAGTGAAAATGAAGAAATACTTCAGGTATTGAAGGCACAGGAAATCAAAACTGAAGACAACAAAAAGACTGAGGCTCCAATCAGCAGCTTGGCTAAATATATAATAACACAACATGATGGAGGGACCCGTGGAGTACCAGAACCAGACAAAAACTCTGATCCAGTGTTTTCTTCTCAACTTGATAAAATAAAAGCTCAAAAAAATGGAAAACCATCCAAGCTGTGTTCCACTGGTTCAGCTCATAGTGGAGTCAGTGCAGGAGAGAGACCTTTTGATTGCAATGTCTGCGGCAAAAGATTCAAACGCAAGTCCCACGTCAAGCTACACCTGCTGACACACACTGCGAATAGAGAACATACCTGCGATGTTTGTGGAAAAGGATTCAGAGAAAAGAGTTCTCTGCAGACGCACATGAGACGACACACCGGAGAGAAACCATTTGCCTGTGACAGTTGTGGCAAAAGGTTTCATGCTAAGAAGTTTCTCAGTACTCATATGAAGGTCCATTCAGAAGAGAAACCTTTCTCCTGTGAAGTCTGTGGCACAAAATTTAGAGTAAAAGAGAGTCTTAAAAATCACATGTGGATTCACACCACAGAGAAACCGTTTGTTTGTAGTTTTTGCAGTAAAGGGTTTTCACAAAAAGAGAGTTTAAAAAGTCATTTGCGTGTTCACACAGGAGAAAAACCTTTCATTTGTTCTCTTTGTAATAAGGGATTTTCACGACAACAAAGTCTAAAGAGTCACATGAATGTTCATACAAGAGAGAAACCTTTTATATGCAGCGTTTGTGGTAAAGGATTTTCACAAAAAGAGAGCCTGAAAACTCACATGCGTGTTCACACGGGAGAGAAACCGTTTATTTGTAGCGTTTGCAGCCAAGCATTTTCACTGAAAGACAGTCTGAAGACTCATATGCGTGTTCACACAGGCGAGAAACCGTTCGTTTGTGACGTCTGCAGTAAAAGGTTTTCACAGAAAGAGAGTCTAAAAAGTCACATCCGGGTTCACACAGGGGAAAAGCCGTTTACCTGTGCTATTTGTAGTAAATGTTTTTCCCACTCTGGAGGCCTGAAAACACACATGGCCGTCCACAGCGCACAGTTTAGCTGTAGAGAATGTGGCAAATGTTTCGTAAAGGAAATCCAGTTGGAGCGACACCTCAGGCTCCACTCAGAGGAGAGACCGTTTGGTTGTGACGTCTGTAAGAACAGGTTTAAACACAGGTGTCACCTTGAAAGTCACATGAAACTCCATTTAGGAGAGAAACCTTCTAGTGTTTCCCGGTGAAGCATTTTTCCTAGAAGAAATTCTGCAGAAACAGAAAAATGCTCATCAGGGAACCAGCTAATGATTATAACAGAAAGAGCACATCCTCTCACCAATGGGCTGATAATGTCTTCACTTCATAAATGACAGTAAGCAGGCGAGTTCACCAATGTGATTAAGGCGTTCATGATCGTTCCATCCTTTTATTGTAACGCTGCACACAAAGTTCTTCTTAATACCTTCTGCCTTCCTTTGCTTTTGTCTGGTTGAGATAGTGACACTCAACAGATGTTGGACTTTTAAAGGAAAAGTCGCTCATATTCAGAATTCAAACTTCAAAAAGTAATTTAAATCTGAAATGATTCCATCCTGTTCAATAAATGATCAGTGTTTTTAATTCAGAGTAATTTTCATGTGAATGTGCTTTACTGGAGGCATCCATGTTTG